ATGGCACAAAGGTAAGTTCCTGTAAATTTATAACTGAGGCTGGACTTAAACAGACTGTTCCTTTAACAAACATTCACAGGGCACTGCTCATGGCTTCTGTAAGAGCCTTGGTCCTCTGCAGAACTGCATCAACAATGTTCAATGGTTTAAATAAAAAAAGGTCAGCTGACTGCAGCTACACCAGGATATCCTTAATCTTCTAGGACACAAAAGGATTACCAGCCATAATCTATCCTATATACCATCTGTGTTGGACTTTTTTCCTTTGATTAATGGAAAATTCTGCATGCATAGCTATTTCCCCAGCTGCTTCCATCAGTGTAATAACCACTAGTGAGAACCCAGTCTCTGCTGCCCAGGTATCACACCATACTGCAAGTTCAGAATAGGAGAGAGCAGCACTCCTCTCTGAAGGCTGGGCTATAAACACCACCTAGAGTTTATTGATGAACGTTCTAATGTGCATTATGTTTTTTGCTCATGAGGCTAAACATATCTGGGTCTGAGGGGGTTTTGTTTGGGGGAGGGAGTTGTTAAATATTTATGAAGCACACTGTCCTATGTCCTTGGTGCTTCAACCAGCATTGTTTAGAGCAGCCAGTAAAGGCAGTAATGGAATGCCTGAAATATATTTATGTTTTGACACATACACCATAAAGATCAACTTATAAAAGCCATCTGAATTCATGCCAGGCCTTTAAGATTCAACTCTGGGAAGCAGAAATGTTTCTTGAGTGCCTAAAAGAGGCACTCAGCAAAGTTTTGCAGCAGTTCACTACAGTTTTTATTTTCTTTTCAAGTCAGCTTCTTTCACTGAAAACACAAGTTTAGTAGCAATGTAGATCACCTTTACAACTGAGCAACAATTTCCTGCCAAACCCCACACCTTCACCTGGGATCCTCACTGCTGCCTGTGCACAGCGGAGCATAATCAAATGGAAGTTAATCCTTTCCTGCACAGTAAGGACAGAGCTGACCAGGCATTATTCCAGAGAAGCAAAGGAGCCTTGCTTGACCGAAGTCAAGTCCAAGCAAAGTAATCCCCAGGCATATGAGAAGAAAGCACAACCCTCCTGGAATTTAAACTTCCATTTCCACTGTAGTCAGTCAGTTGCCACAGGAACAGACCTTAAAGCTAATTAAAGAGCAGCTCCTTTAGGCTAAAGACCTACATTTGCTTCTGGTGCAGAGTACCTGCAGGCTCATAACAATGAGAGTGCTGGAGCCTGAAACACAGGTCTCTGCTATTTTCCAAACTCACCAAAAAGAAGAAAATAGAATGCCCCTCTGCTTTTCTGACACGTGGCTGTGATGTCTGCCAGAAATACTGCAAAGTTCACCTGGCAAAGGTCAAAGCTTTGCTCACAGATTGCAGTTAAAGCATCCAGAGGCAGCAGAGAACCGTAACACAGCTACAGTAATAATATACTATTTTAACCAAGTTTGTTAATCTGAATAGCTACACATTGTGATTCACAGCTTTCTCTTGTATAGCTCAGCAGTCGGGCTGCCTTCTGTGCAAAAGGCTCAGGCAGTAGTTGTGCTAACTGGGTTAGGCAAAATGACAAGCTATCAGATGTGGCACACAAAGAGCTGGGTGTTTTCTACCATCACTCTCCCGACACAGAAAGAGAAGGGGAGGCTATACCCTAGGACTTTTTCCCAACCCTAGATAATCATTCAGTTTTACACTGGTCAGTGCTAGCTAGCTACAACTGCAAGTAGTATCATAGAAAAAAGAACCCCCTATGAAAATCTGTTGATCCCTGCTAATAATCAAGAATACAATTTCCTAGGAATTTCCTGGATGCAAACACTGCATTCCTGTCTTTTGCAGGAAATTCCTTACATTCAGATTTACCCAATACCAGCCATTCAAAAAAATCTGGTTCTCTTCCTCTATCTTTATAGTCCAAACATTGGTTTCATGTCTCTAGAGACATCTAGATTGCCAGTCTCAACCACCAACCTGGTCTGCCATCCCTACTGACAGAAATCTGTATGTGCCAAACTCTTCAACACCTCTTCAGTGTAGTCAGAGACACATACAGGACGTGGCCCAGTGCTGGAACTTATATTTGGCTTACGGGGAAGATTTGTTGAATTCAGCCTCTACCTGAGAGGCTGAATTCTGCTTTTGTTCTTCCTTATGCATAGCCTGAACACAAGCACAGAAGTCACATAAGACAGTCTCTAGCTTTTACAAATATTACAGGAATATTATTGTTCTAAGACAAGAGAGAGACACCATGCAAGTGCTCCTTACTTCAAGTTCCTCTCTTTGCTCAGATTAATCTCAATTATAGTGGCCAAATAGATTAATTGCTACAGCACCTCCCAAACACATCACCTAAACATATCAGCCTCCTGCTCTCTTACCTGCTAGAGTTTACAGGAGTGTTGCTCCTCACTTGTTCTCAGGTACAAATCCTACCTGGTGATGAAGGAAGCTGTCTTGCTGAACAAGCTTCTTCCTCATCACTTAAGGAAGTTTGATGGTCTTCAAAGTGAAGTACAAGTCAATCTCTCTGTAAAGAGAAAGGACTGTAGTCCACCCTTCCAAATCTGCTGCAGGACAAATTCTAGGCTTCTAGGCTGTCATCCCTTACTCATCCACTCAGGGAAGACAATCTCTAGTTTTGAGAGATCCCCTGCCAGCCATAACAACCATTTTACCTGCTTCCTCCCCAGTAGTTCCTTAGCACATCCAGGGATTCGGGACAGAGTAAGGCAGCACTCCCCCACACTGCCTAAAGCCAGTCTGAAGAAGGTAGGCTTTGCTCACTGCAGTGCATTTGGAGGAGGAATGAATCTCTCTCCAAGGGATTTTCCAAATTCAAGTGATGGCCCAAGGAAACAAAGCAGGATGGGGATGACAAAAAGCAGCTGCACAGAACTAAAAAGAAAGGTTTTTCTCTGCAGTGTGAACCTTTCTGACCAGTTTAGCAGCTCTTGACAGACACTGCAGTCTGTACACTACAAAAACAGGCTTATTATGAGGCCTTTCTAAAGGGCCCTCCCATGACCAAAATATCCTGCTGGATGGGCTTCCTCTCCTTCACAACAATTCAGAGCACATGCAGTTGGCTGGAGGTGGAACTGAGGCTGTAAAGCCATACCCAAATAGGTGGATACTGCCTTCCCAGGGCAAGATACACACATTTCAGAGCTGAAGCTTAAGTTTAGGCTTCTGTTACATGGCATAGAATAATTAACTGTGCATCCTCAAGTATCTCAGTTCTTTGCCCTGCATTGCAAATTCAGTTTTACTGTGTACTTTGGTTGTTACCGCAGATACCAGCTCCAAGGCAGTACCTGCAAAGATCTTGAAGCCTAAAGAGGGAGCTGTTCCAGAGCCAAGTAGCAGTAGGGTTTTTGCTTACTATGCAAGAGATTAAAACCAAAGATTTTGCTGTTCCAGAGCAAGCACTCATTTTCACTTAACACCTCAGAAAAACTAAGAGGTTAGTACTTAAGTAATCTATGACATTTTAGAAGTTGGTGTCTGAGAGACTGGCACAAAGGATCTGTCAAGGATGCTTGAACCAATTATTAACAAGTTCAACTGAATGTCACAAAATGTCTCAGGAAGGTTTGGCAAGCCTCAGCAAAGCATTACCATCACAATTCCTACCATTAACCATGTTGTAATCTCCTCTGTTAAGGTTACAGAGTGTACTTAAAGCTTTCCCAAGTAACTATTTAGCATTAACAGTCAGTACCGTTGTACATCTCATGAATCATAAGGAAGTGAACTCCCCCTCCACAGGTAGAAAAGCTGTTATGTTTGAGCAAACACTTTCCATCTGATGTTTGCCTGCTTAGTCTCAGGCGTGGTGGTTCTTTCTTCAGCTAGCCTGATACCCAGGTCTGCAGCTTCTACATTAACCCAAGGCTCTAGCAACAATTTAAGCAATGCAATATAGCATTATATGCTATAGCATATAATAGAAGAAGCACTTCTACCTTGACACCTGCTAAGCAAGGATAGGATGCTATGGTAGCATTGTGGAGAAGCTGCCTTTCCCACAACAAGGAAACCTTATATTCCTCTTTCCCTACAGAAACCAAACCCTGATGAAGTATGAATGAGTAGCACCTCTGGGCTTTGAAGAAACTGAGCTATACATTCAGTAGTGTTTGTATTAAACAGTTCAACTCAGGAAAGGCTACCAATCATGCCTCGGGATTGGAGGAATGCAGAAGCTACCCTAGGACATGATCTAAATATTTTGAACAAAGCTATCCAAATAACCAATCCACAAGATCTACTCTGAGTTCTGTTGTTACACCAGCACGTTCACTGTGTTTGTGTACTGATTATACCCACAGCTGCCAAACTTGCACACCACAGCTCATACTTTTGGCAAGGCTGTCACACCAGCACTTAATCAAGCAAGCAAAAGAAAGTGGGGGAAAATGATGGGAAGAATTTATTGACAAAGAGGGGGAAGAGGTGCAAGAAGCACTTGCTGTTTGGGGGCGTCGCAAAAAAATTCAGTCTCTTATTTCAAGATTGCCTGTTAAGACTCAATTGCCTTCTCAGCCTATACATGGTTTGAATTTCAACTTCTGCAGTCTGCTAAGAGGCAAGATTGATAAGAGGCCTTCCAGTAAGTGTGTCTGGGCCAAAGACTTCTAGGCAGGTGGTCTTCCACCACCCCCCTCTTTCTCAGGTAGATCCCAATCAGGCAGCAACAGTCAGGCTCCTCTCCCCACTCCAACAGTTTTATATGGCATAAGCCATTTTAAGAGCCATAAAGCTACTTAAGCATCCTAAGCCAATCTAGATTCTGTAGCATCAAGTTGATCTTCAAAGTCTTACCAGTTTACAGACAAGTAAAGCCTTTCAGCACCTGATCTGATGATGCCTTAAAACTGCATTAAGAGAAAAAGATGCTGTGAAGCAACAGGACAGAAGCCCAAAGACTAAACACACCTGAAATTTATACATTAGTGCTCCTGTTTCCACACTATGCTCTTTCTCCTTCCTTTAACAGCAGACACTTCTTTCAGTCCCCCAAGATTTGTGGATGACACGAATGGAGCTGCACAGCTACAGCAATTCCTGAACAGTACAAGCACAGGCTTCTTCAGCCCTGTTAGTAAAGGTCAGCAGAATATGGCTTAAGGGGTTAAGTATCTGCTGTCTTCTAGCAGAGTACAACTCAACACTATGATATTAATCTCAGTACTTCAGCCTCCCCCACATGCTTTCTCTGGACAAGCTCTTCCTGATACAACTACATCATTCAGTATGGTTCTTTGTACAGAAATATCTTCTCCAGCATTTTCTTCAGCCTACGTGCTACATTCGCTTACTCTTATTATAACAAACAGAAAACCACCACAAGTAACCACCACCTCTTAGAAGATGTATCTCCCTGCAACACAAACACTTCCAAATGTTACAGGTGGGGATTATGAGGTTGCCAGTATTGCTCATCTCTTGAACCAAAGTCTCAGCCCACACTACTTCAGACAGCTGACACATGTCTTGGCAAAGGCAGCACTTCTCATCTCTCCTCTCAATCCAATTATAAACTCAGACTAATTTCCTGAGCTCTTGTGAGGGAGTAGATCCACGCTCCAGCACATTCTGTGACTAGACAAGCTGATACTACAGTAAAATACTTAACCCATTCATGTCAGACAAAATTCTCTATATTTGCACACATTCACTACTAGCTTTTAAGTATTTCAGCATTTAGAAGATTAGGCAGAAATCCCTGGTTTATGACAAAGTTGTGTGTCTCAAACAGTGCTGAAAGCAGACACATTTGTCAGCTCCAGCAGTAACTCATTAAACGCTTCCCAATCTATGTAAAAGGTCCAGGCCAAAGGACAGAGTAGCACCCCAGAACTACTGATCAGAGTTTGCATTGACTTTGGAGAAGTCAGATCAAACTCTGCAAACATAGAGGAGCACTTCCAAGTGAGATTAAGAGTCAAAACTCTGTCAGGTAGCTTTTAGAGGAATGTATTAAGTTATTTCAATTCAGCCGCTTATCCCAGTTATTCTGCCATATTCTCCATAGACTCCAATCCTCAGGCAAGAGACTGACCCTGTCAAAAATGTGAAGAAACAGTGCTGAGCTGCAGCTAGATTATAGTTGGAGAAGATTAGGAAGAAGAGACTGCACTGCAGAAATGGGATTGTTTCAAACGAACTTTCAGTATGTAACCTTACAATGGAATTAAAAGGTTTACTTGAGTGACTCTGGAATGACTCCCAGCCTCCCTCAGAAAACAAGTCTGCTTTTCTGCACTCTTAAAGCAAAACCTCTTAACACACCATCCCAGAGCTTACATCTCCAAAAAGCAGCTCCAGAAAAGTCCACCATCCCCGCTCTATGTTAGCAGGTCCCACCATGAGACTGACACTGAGATTTTAAGAACAAAGCAAATTCAATTACACATTAAGCTGAATTACATATTGTGATATCTAAAATTAAAAAAACACCCTCTGTAATTTTAGCAGTATCTTCATAACAGCAACAAAATCTTCATTGCCTGTGGTACACAGTAGCTCCCACTATGTAATTACTAAGTTCATGCCTGGATTTGGTGTAGCACAGTTCCATCATTTAGTATCAAGGGCAGAAGTACAGAAGCAACCAAGCAGCACACAATTTGATGCAAGCAACAAGGATTTAGGGCAAATACTTCACAAAATTCATTCTTGAAGATATTCCAAAGCTATCTGGACATGGTCATTAAGGTGGACATGGATATCAAGCACCAGTAGTCTTTAGTAGCTTTATTGATGGCACAGATCAATAGTAGCATCAACTGCATGTTCAGCAAGTTTGTAGATGACACAAAGCTAAGCTGTGTAGGTGACAAAACAGAAGGACAAGATGCCATTCAGAAGGACCTGAAGAAACTCGAGAAGTGGGCCCATGTGAACCTCATCAAGTTCAACAGATCCAAGTGCAAGGTGCTGCACCTGAGTCAGGGCAATCCCAGATACAAGTACAGGCTGGGAGAAGTCCTTGAGAGCAGCCCTGCAGAGAAGGACTTGGTTGGATAAAAAGCCGGACATGAGCAAACAGTGTGCACTTACAGCCCAGACAGCCAAATGCATCCTGGGCTGCACTGAAAGCACAGTGACCAGCAGATCAAAGGAGGCGATTCTCCACCTCTATACTGCCCTTGTGAGACACCCCCTAAAGCACTGCATCCAGCTCTGAAGTTCTTGGCAAAGAAGGGCATTGACCTGCTAGAGCTGACCTAAAGAAGGGTCACAAAGATGATCTCTCTAAGAGAGATCCTACAAAGACAGGATGAGAAAATTGGGGCTGTTCAGACTGAAGAGGACTCCAGGGAAGCCTCACTGCAGGCTTCCAGTATGTAAAGGGGGCTTTTAAAAGAGGAAAAACAACTTTTTACACAGGTAGACAGTGGCAGGACAAGGGGGAACAGTTTCAAACAAAAAGAGAAAAATTTTACATTAGACATTAGTAAGAAATTATTTTCTCAGAGGGTGGTGAGGCACTGGAGCAGTTTGCCCTGAAGTGATAGATGCCCCATCCCTGGAAGTGCTTGAGGCCAGGTTGGATGGGCCCTGAGCAGCCTGATCAAGTTAGTGGGTGGCACCCTAGCCCATGCCTGGGGGTTGAACTGATGAACTCTAAGGTCCCTTCCAACTCAATCCATTCTGTGATATGGTCCTGGGAAAACAGCCCCAGGTGGCCCTGCCCTAACAGAGGGGTTGAACCTCCAGAGGTCCTTCCATTTCAATCATCCTGTGATTAACACAATGGCTGTAGTAAGTCACAGGCTGTTCCTCCAGATTCTCTAAGGATACTCCAGGGACCTTTCTTCTTCAGGAGCACAAGCATCCCCTAAGCATCCTGCCTTAGGGGATGTCTGTGGCCCACCCTTCATCTTGTGAAGTAGATTTTCCAAAAACCTACCTGCTGAAAAAATAAAGTTCCATTTTCTCCCATACTTTCTAAACTGAGATATGGACAGAGACTTAATGGGAGACTTTTCACTTCCACACATCTCCCCATTGTATAGGAGTATAATGACAGCTGACAAGCAAAGCAAAAGCATTTGCAGCAGTAGAGACTATGTTGATTTCTGTTATGAGGCTTCAGGTAGCTGAATGTTATGAGGAAAAAGGTAGCTGACAAATTCTGGGAGGGGAAAAAAGTCTCCTTTATTTTTATAAAATGGACAGGCTTACACTTTGCTCACTAAATAAATGAGCAAGCAAGTTTTTGGGCCTGACATGTGACCCCACAGAAGTAGCTCTTGGCAAGTACAAAAGCTATCTACTTCCCCCTGACACCCCTTCTTCAGGAGGGAAGTGAATGCCTCTGCAGCAGGAAGAGTTCACTCTTGTACAGAAAGAAAAAGTTGCAGTAGACAAATGAACTACCAGTGTCACTGAGATAAAGCTGCCTTTCAGCAGGAGCCTCTCCTCCTTTTACCCTTTATGAATTGTACAGAGCCCAAGGAAACTAGGCTCCAGTTAAGTCTTTGAATTCCCTTCGCAGACTCCTCAATTTCTTTTTTATTCACTCCAGTGCAGTTTCCTTTACTCCTCCAGTAACTCCCTCTAGTGCATGCTTTCCAGTTCCCTAGCAAAGTTTCTCAGTCCAAAAAAAAGCTGACACAAAAGCTTCCAAACACATGTCAGTTCATCTAGAGATGTCAGCTTGCCCTTTAGAAGCACTGGGAGAGTCATTTCTGTGCTCAGGACAGAGTAATTTTTAGCACAACCACATAAACCTCCCCAAAATAGAGCACAGTAATCTCCATGTGGGCTTCCACAAAGGACATATACATAACACCAAAAGGAGTGAATTTTCTGGAAGCACTGCTAATTTTACCCCACACAAGTTACTGGTTGCATGGTTAAGGTGCACTCCTGATGTAGCCTGGCACCTATTTCAGCTAACCATGATAAAGATCAGCTTTTTGCTTAGCAATAATGGCAAACCACCAGGTTTTTTTCCCTTCTCAGGACTTGACTAAGTATGTTTACAATTTTGATTTGTGCCTTCAAACAAGTGTTATTACATAAAATTTGAAGTACAATTTTATACAAAGAGAAGCAATTGCAAGTAGCAAGCTGTATAGAAATCCCATTAGCATTTTTGCTCTTGGCTTACCTGAGAGCATAGTATGAAATACATATCGGTGAAACTAAAACTCTGCCTAGTCAGCAGCAAAGTACACTAGTACAATAAATTCACAGACATATATGCCCCAGAAACGTCTCAGGTCATAAGAACCTGTTCCAAATCCCCCTTCTTCAACCAGTCAATTCACACCTTTAGACCAGTTTTGCTACAAACCCTTCAGAGAACCAGCCTGTCCATGAGGTACCTAAAAGCTGACAGTAGACACTGAGCTTTTCCAAGCTTTTTTTTCCAAGCTGATAGGCCCATAATGAAGACAAGTCCTTATTATTCATCTACATTTCTACACTGCAAAGTTGCAGTGCACCGTCCTAAACTTAAGAAAGTAAGACCTAACAAAGCAGTGCTAATGGCACACCACCAGATTGCTGGTATAAAATACTTGTGCAGCAGCTCACTGGGAATCTCTCATTTGAAAACCCAAAATAAGTTGTGTTGTTTTCCCTGCAGCATCAAACAAGACACATTACCTATTCCTTTACAGTCCATCACTTTACCAGTCACCCATTCAACTGTGTAGTGCTTGAAGTGTTCTGTTCCAGATGGAGTGTGGCTGCTGCTTCCCCATACTGCTAAATTCCACATCCAGCTGGGCAGCACCAATTCCTACAGTGCTTCCAAACTGATTTGGAGCAATAGCTATCACTACTTAAAGGACCTGGGACACATCCTGCCAAGGCTGCAAATTGGACAAACTCAAGACATGGGCTTGAATACATCTGCACTGCTCTTAATCTCATTTAAGAGGTAAGAGGGAGAATCCTGCAACTGTGCATGCAGCAACCAGCAGCAGTTCACTAACAAACCAATTGCACAGATCTGCTTCTTTTTCCTAATACAATGCAGATAATGCATCTACCTTTAAATTATTATGACCACCGAACTTGCCATTACATTAATAAGTACTCTGAGATTTTAGCCAATTGATATGTCCTTGACTGACTTTTAATGCTGCTTGAGCTGAGTAAATCCTGTTAAGAGACATTTGCCTCTACTCCAAGTCACACCAGGACAGTAAATTAAATGAAACTGTTAGCCTAGAGAGACATTGCTGTCACATAAATCAAGTGACAGTCATAAAACATTAATCACTCCAAAAGTTGAAGGTGGCAAAGAAAAGGGTCAAGCATGTTTGTCCAGTGATGATCCACAGAAAGATATAAAACTTTAAAGGACTTCCAGGTCCTAGAGGACTTGAGCATACCCGCTTCCATCAGATCAGACTTTAGACATGAGATGCTACTTTCTGCTGCTGGGTGACATTACAGGCACCTGTATTTCCTTTTTAACAACCTATGCAGGTTCAGATTATGAAAGTACTAATGTCTCAAGAGCTCAAAGAAATATTAATATATTTATGCACCATCCAGTTGTGTTCCAGTCCATTCCACACAAAGAAAGTTTTCCAAAATATCAGCATGCTTAGATAAGCATTCAGGCTCCTCATTTCTATTTCTCAGCAAAGTAAATAGAACAAGTTTAGCCATTCATTTTACTGAAATATATGATAGTAGACAAAACTGGAAAGACCTATCTAATGAACACAAAATCAGTCAAGCATTTTTCCTGATTCTGATGTAGCTGATGTGATAGAAACTACAGGGGGAAGAAAGAAATGCAGGCTTAAAGGACCGAAGTTTGAAGGATATTGAGTTTCATCTCCAAAAATAGACCAGAAATGAAAGAAAGGAATGGGAGGGGGTGATTTGGGGCGTTTTATGTGGGTTTGGTTGTTTTTGAGTTTTTTATGTTGGGATTTGTGGTTAGGGTTTTTTTGGTAAAGAAAGCATGCCTCCACTGATTTTAGTGAGCAGTTGCTCCAGAAGTGCACTATTCCACAAGCTGCTCCTTCCAGTATTTGACCTGGAACAGAACATGAGTACAAACTCCAAAACTTACAATGCTGTGTGAAATTTAAGTTTAGCATCATTTTCTATTGCACAAGCTAATCCACCATATAGTTCATTTCACAACTGCAGATGTCAAACAAAAAAATACCTATATTTGTTGCCATTCTGAGTACTGGTCATGCCCTAGTTTAATGTGTCCATTTGGTTTAACAGATTAGTCTGATAAACTTTCCAAACTTTATGGTTAAGGACTGCTCTAACTTGTACGCAGGTTATTGTTACATCAGGTTTGGCACATCACAGTTTGGCCATCAGCACAAAAAAACACCCAGAACAACTGAGACCTTGAACAGCTATGAATAATGCAATCCACCATTTTTCATTCTGGTAAAAACTTGACCAGGATATTGAAGAGGTGGAAGGTGAAACACTGCCTTGCATACTGCTAATCCTCAGTTGTCAATCTACAAGTGTGCCCTGTAGTAGGGAGCTATGATACAGCATTATTACTAAGAAGCCATCACACCCCTCAGAAATGCTGCTGGCACCACCTTGCATGAAGGGGAAACAAGGCCTCTCCAGTAATACTATCTTGGAACAGGAAGACTAGAGAAGTTATTTTACTTGACACTTGCTCTATCCTTAATTTATTATTTTCCCTTCTAAAAATATTAGTCTTCTTAGCTCCCCTTGACAAAACACAGAGGTCTTGCTTTGACTTTTGTATCCCTCTTCTCATATTTTCACTTTTTGCTTTTGAATAGGAAAATACTCATTGGGGATGGGAGAGAAGTATGTTTCTGGGATTCGCCAAGGTAAAGTTTGGTCTTGAACTGTAAATAAGAAACAGAAGCACACTAAAGACTACATATCAGTGTGCTAAAACAGCATTAAAGAAGTCTGTACATTCACTGCAGCAAAGCTCTCCCTTTTGCCATTTATCCCAAAAACATTTCCTCTCCTTTTCATCTCTATCCTGAGTAATGAAGTACTCAGTACATCACTCTGCTGATTCCATTGACACTCAAGTTGTTTTCCTTCTTATACAATCTCCAAAAATCTGTCATGCCAAAAAACCTGCCCAGTGACAGGCACAGAAGCCAATCGAAACTACTCAGCTTCAAAGCATCAACTCCAACAGGTTCCATTTGCTACTGTTCAGAAATGTGCAGAAACTAATTCTCCCTGCTCACCACTGCTCATGACCCATAGCTCATGTTCATCTGCAATTCACACACAAAGGTAGCAAAGCAGGACGCCCCAAATACCTTTAAGGGTGGTGTAAGTTTCCCAGTTAAAGACTTGGTCAGTATCTGTGTTTTACCATAGAACGGTTTGGGTCAGAAGGGAGCTCCAGTTCCCCTGCTAGGGACATCTTAAACTAGATCAGGTTGCTCAGAGTCCCATCC